CATCCAAGTCATGTCCAATTTGGCACGCTTCTCCTCATGCATACTTTGTCCTAGAGCTGCCATTGTAATTTTTATCTGTAAAGCTCCTGTGCCAAATGATGGCTATGCCTTTTGGTGCCTGTACAACTTAGTTTTTGAAATATTAATGTTTAAAAATTTATAATGGGAGTCAATGGAGCCTTGTATTGGTCCAATACTGCCCCCTGCTGTATCTACTGAGTACTGAACCATAGTTTAATAATATTTAATCTCAATAGTTCAGTGTTTACAATACTAATATGATTGTYTTTTGATGTTTTACTATAATGTTGTCCTAATATTGCTCCATTGCTGTAATATATTGCAGTTTAGTGTCAACAATTGCATTGGCAATGTGGCCTCTTTCTGCACACATACAAACCAACCCCTTACAGTGCCCTCTGCCACAGCTCCAATGGTCTCGTGGTTAACTTTATGGGCTTTCATGTGGGAGATCAGGATTCAAAACCCAGCTACAGCAACTTTAACAAAAAATCTCTACAAACTTCATATTGTTGCACAATTATCCTCATTACAGACACCTGCTGACTTTACAAGAACAAGCTGGCAGAAAACACATTTGAACTTGGTCACATTTCATTCTGCAAGTCCAATGCTGCAGGCAAAGCCATGCTGCAATGACATGCTACATGGCAATTCACACTTGTTTTTACATCGTAAAAACCCATGTCTAGTTATTGTTATTATTATTATTATTGTTATTATTGTTATTATTATTTTTGTTTCCTTCAGACAAACTGAGCTGGCGCTGATAAAACAGTCCGGATCTGCAGGATCCCCTTCAGCTGCCTCCCTTCAGCTCCTCCTCCTCGCTCTCCCAGCCTGTGAATACCACAGGCCCCACTCACCCTTTGGTCCAGATTTAGATCCCAGTCTCTCCCAGACTGTCAGACCCAGCTGTCTAAAGATTCACAGATCCTTTCATCGGGCCTCATTTTCCTTTTCCTGCTCCGCTCTCCTTCGGTTCTTGGTCCTCCTCTCCTCCAACATGCCTGCCATCCTTCATCTCCACCAGCTCTTCCTCTGAGATGATAGCAGGCTCCCACTTCTCTCTCTGTTGACGGTGGTTTCACAGAGGCAGACTTGCTGCTCCTCGTCCTCAGCCATGGAGCCTTTTGCAGAGGTAAGACACAATTCTGATCTCCCCAACTCAACCTTTTTATATGTAACCCATCACATCGAAATGAGGATTAAGTCAAATTTGGTCAAAATGACCTAATCATATTTTCAGATTCCTGCTTTAAAAGCTACATTTTGACACTTAGATCATCCTGAAATCATTAGTAGATCCAGAGATATTATTTAATTTGTCTTGTTGGTTACAATAATACATAAAGTTTTGGTCTAAATCCTAATTTTATGACATTTTATTGAGGATTTTTTTATGTCATCTTAAAAAAGAAACCTCACATAGTATTTGAATATTGAGATTTCCCAGCTGGAAAGAAACAAAAACGTTGCTAGCTCACAGGGAAATTTTCAAAAGGCATTTTTCCTCAAAATCAGGTTTTTGGTTGCTAATGCTCAAAAAAGTGCTTCAAAAAAAATTTTAGGGTAATATTTCAGGCTGTTCATTGAAATGATACATTGATAACATATTTATTTGTTWTATTTTGACAAACTAATTTTTGCAAGTATTATAATCAAAACACTATATCTGCCTGTTTTTCCACATACAACTTTTAGACTTAATCCTTGTTTCGATGTGATGGGTCATAATGATACTTCAACTTATTTGAAGCTAAGACATGCTGCAAAAATTAGCCATCTAAAGATAACTTAAACAACACTAGATTATAGTCTGAATTGAAGTGAAATAATCTGCCATAGCACTAAAGATAATTGCACTTGTTAAGACTTCTTGAAATAAGGAAAATTTCCAGGCTAACAATAATCAAACACATTCTGCTCTTGTTTAGTAAATCAGTCTCAAAACAAGATCAACAATACTTTTTGGGTGGCTATAAGATTGTATTAATTAGATGGACACTTTTTTGCTATATAACATTTCTTCTTTCACAGAGTATATGTTATGGATGACTCTCAGGTCCTACTACCTACTACTACCACACTGAACTGTAGATGCATTTCTGCAAAATTCAGTTATAGCCGATTTATACAAAGGTGTCCCTTTTTACTCCCTCCTGTAGGGTGAGCTGTATTTCATAACAACAGCCTGGTTTAATATACATACATATATAT